TTGCAGAAAACCAATGTATCATCTGCAAATAACAGATGTGAAAGTACAGGGCTGTTTCTAGCCAAAGAAACTCCTCTGAAATTCCCTTTCTCCACTTCTGATTTGATAAGGCCTGATAGCAATTCTGACACAAGGATGAATAAATAGGCTGATAGTAAAGTAATAAACACATGTTAATGATAGTAAAGTGATTTGATACAATGATGAAATTTTTTTTTTAAACTAATAAACACATTTTGTGAAAAGAATATTTTGAAATATTTGCTAATTAAATAATTAGCTTGGTGTGACGTATCACCAAGGTGGTCTAGTGAAACATATGAATTATGATATGAACAATAATGTTTATTTTTCGTTAAAAATAGCTAATTAATTTAAGTGACATAATCAAATCCGTTAAATCACATAAGTTATTTTTATAACAATAATGAAAATAATTTTAATAGTTATTAGTTATTTAAATAATCGTGATTCCTTATAACTATAAAAGTTTTGTTATTATTTATATTTTTTGTACTTAATATAGTTAATTCATATGTAATTTATATAATTTATATTTATATTTTACATTTTTACTATGGCTAAATTTTTAAATATAATATATACATTATCTAACTTAATTCTAAATATTATACACATACACATATAATATTTGGATTGCATCATTTGTGCATGTACATAGCATGAATACTGTTGAACAATGCTTGAATAATGTTTATAGGATTTATTGTCGTTTTTCAAATATTTATGATGGTTGACTTTTGGAAATAGCTGATTTTACTTGTTTAACCTCACACTTGTTTCAGAGTCATCGTCTCATCATTTATTATTTTCCAGCACTTGATCTGTCGCTGTAGGAAAATGTCGTGCCTTTTTATATATATTTTTACTGAGGTTTTGATACAAATGGAATTAATGTACGTAATTTACCAATAAACTAAAATAAAATAATAAATAATGATAATAATAAATTATAATAGTCAGTCTATTATCAATTATATTAAATCCTATCCTCAAGAAACACAAAGTCATAAAGCTAAGGATATAAAAAACAAAGTATTGTCATAATTTATTTTATTTTAAAGTAAATCAAAGTCCACCCTAGGCAATTTCAACATGTGTTTTTATTAGGAAGCTAAATTAATAAATAAACAAATTTAACTTTATTTAGAGATTTGACCAATCAAATGCTCTAGTTAGAATGTTTGAAAATTATTATTTTTTTTTTCTGAAAAACAAAAGATGAGGGTTTTGGATAGTCAGATAGAGGAGATTCTAAATAGACAATTATATTAAATCCTATCCTCAAGAAACACAAAGTCATAAAGCTAAGGATATAAAAAACAAATATTGTCATAATTTATTTTATTTAAAGTAAATCAAAGTCCACCCTAGGCAATTTCAACATGTGTTTTTATTAGGAAGCTAAATTAATAAATAAACAAATTTAACTTTATTTAGAGATTTGACCAATCAAATGCTCTAGTTAGAATGTTTGAAAATTATTATTATTATTATTATTATTTTCTGAAAAACAAAAGATGAGGGTTTTGGATAGTCAGATAGAGGAGATTCTAAATAGACAATTATATTAAATCCTATCCTCAAGAAACACAAATTAAGTCATAAAGCTAAGGATATAAAAAACAAACTATTGTCATAATTTATTTTATTTTAAAGTAAATCAAAGTCCACCCTAGGCAATTTCAACATGTGTTTTTATTAGGAAGCTAAATTAATAAATAAACAAATTTAACTTTATTTAGAGATTTGACCAATCAAATGCTCTAGTTAGAATGTTTGAAAATTATTATTATTATTATTATTTTTCTTTTTGAAAACCAAAAGATGAGGGTTTTGGATAGAGGAGATTCAAAATAGACAATACAACGTAACATTAAAAGCTTCCATTATTTACAAAACGCTAATATAATTCAATAGTCTAATTCACTAATACAACCAGCAATCATCTATTCGCTAATATGACAGACTATTTGCTATTCCTCACCAACTAATAACAAAATGCTAAAACTATGAGAGAATGCATAGAGTAGAGAAAAAAAAGATGTGTATTTTCCATTTCTTGTAATAGTGAGATTACATCTAATATATAGAGGTTGCAAAAGATAAAAAATAAATCAAGAGCAAATCAAATAAAATCAAGATCAAATCAAATATCTAATTATCAAAATATATAGTTACTACCAAATCAAGATCATATCAAACCAAAGATATCTTAACAAAATAACTAAAGTCTATTTTAACACCAAACATAACATATCTATACTTATATTAAAAGGTATCCCATTTATCAGATTTAGTATAAAGAAAAGTCAAAAGTAATTAATGTTTGCTGGAAATAGAATGACATTAATTACAGATTTGTTTTGGTATTTATAGCTTGACATTAAAGATTTGTTATGGGATAAAAATCATAACCGATTTTTTTACTTTTGCTGGAAAAGTCAAATGTAAGTACAGATTTATTTTATTTCATAACATCGGTTTAATTAAAATAATCTCATAAAATCGATTTTAATGTCAAGCCTATAAATAAAGATTTAATCGGTTTTAATAAAGCAGATTTAATCGGTTTTAATAATGCATAGAATTTCAAAACTGTTATTTGTTGTAAAAACATTAAATTCTAAAAAGATATTTGTGTATATTTTGTAAAATATTTGTACAAAATGTTTTACTTTAAATTTATTTACATAATTTAAATTAATTACATTAATAAATAATATGAACATACATTAAATATTTTAATTACATAAAACAAAAAGAAGAAGAAGATTACATCTATAACTTATAAATATATTGACATTATACTACAACAAATTTTATAATGAAATAATATAAGTATTATACGAGGAACAAGACTACGTAAAATTGTTATTTCTCTTATATCAATGAATAAATATATATAATGAAATCAAATTTATATTATTATAAACATGTGGGCGAGATAATATATTAATTAATTTACGGGCTAGCGCTACCAGACTCAGGTTTAATGTTCCGACAAAAAAAATGACGTTGATGAAAAGATGTAAAAAGATAGATGATCAAATTCTATTTTTTTTAGGCCTGAACGGACAAGCCCTATGGTCCACTCATTTAATATCTCCCGTGAATCGCACGAGCTACTTAACGGACAAGTTCTGTGGAAATAACTCATTAATACTTATGTCCCGTGCATCGCACGGGCTACGTGCTAGTACTTATAATTTGCCAACTAGTAAACAATTAGTACTGAAAAAAAATATGGATTCGTAATGGTTAGTCAACTCATAGATTTATTATCAAGTATAGGTTTAGCTAAAACCCGAGTGATTATATATTTATTAGCTGTCTTAAGAGCATCTCCAATGCTCAAATGTTGTTGTGGAAAATTGCATGTCACATTAACATATTTAGTAATATCACAACTTTCCATCCTCCAATGTAAAATGTGATCACAAATATTGTGGTGATGTAGACATAATTAATGACTACAATGTGGAGAAGAATGTGGTTCATCCACATTCTTCTTATTAAACTAATAACGAAATGCTAAAATTATGAGAGACTTATTAAAATTTTACAATTTTGCTATAGAGTCATCGGATGACTCAACTTATGGAGTCATCCACACTTATTCAACAATAGTGTATTTACACATGTCCTACAATAATTACAATTTGGATAGGTGTCAACATATTAAGTGGGGGATGACTCCATAAAAAAACAAAAAAAAAATCTGATGGCTTCATAGAATTTTTGTAAATTTTAATATTTGCTAAGTAGATAATATTGTAGTTAAACTACATTGTGCATTGGAGATGATTTTTTAATTTCATAGTTGTGAACTTAACATTTTTCTTACATGGTTTACAATCTATTTAATTTATTGACATTTGTCATAATTTATTCTATAACAACATTAGAACATTGGAGATGCTCTAAGTTTGATTAATTTCATGGGTTTATATTTTCTTAGTAACTTAATTATAGTAGTTTTTGTGTAGACAAAATCCATCATCATAGATTCATAAAAGATACTTTCTTTTATGAAATGTCAATTCCTTTAATTATTAATTGGTACATGTAAATGGTCCCATGATGTTACGTACATGGAGAAACACACACCAAACACGCGAAAATTTTGGCTTTTGAATTAAATGAAGATAGCAATTAGCTATAAAGAGAGAGAGCTGTCATGTTTTTAATAAGCTTATAGTTTGTTCATTGTTCTTAATACATCGAGTTAAATTAATTTTCGGCAACAATCTAACTAAAAAGTTACATTATTAAGTAGGACATTTTTTTAAAGTAGACAATAATAATTTATAATAGTTAACTTTTGAAATATTGGTAACTGATAGATAATTTCTTGAAGTAAGAATCTCTTAGAGTTACTTTTAAGAATCAACTAAACTAAGGGGATGATAATGGTGAAAATGCTCAATGAGACAATGACACACCGTGGACATAACAAGATTTCACAATCTCGAGATCTTTTAACATCATATTCAGTTTGTAGTTAATGTTATGCATGTGTTTAAACACAAATTTTTGTGTAATACAGTCTAACGGTTAGGTGAGTCGACTCGTCATACTATTATACATATTTATATTATGAAATGTCATGATTTTGTTTATATTATTTTTTAAAGTATGAATTGTGGAATGAAAATATGCATATTTGTAAATATATATATATATATATATATATATATATATGTTGAGCTAACCTAAGAACCGTATCATATACAAGCAAGTTCACTTGGTCAAATGAAGTAAAAAATTGTACCATTTTTTAATAAAAAAATAAAAAAAGAATTCCCATTAGAAATCACAAATCATTTGAATAATGCAACACACATGTCCCTAAATCTTAAACGTGCTAACATTTTCATTGAGTTTGAGTTCAAGTTTGGGCCATGTCCAAATTAGACACATAGTACAACATACGGATGCAATTAAAGGAATAGAATAGACTATGAAAAGAACTAATCATGAAGATGGTGTGATGTCAAATCCATGGCTGCGATTTTCACTAGCTTTACTTCATTTTCATGGATGTGTCTTCTTTTTGATGTGATAATAATCTTTCACTTCATGTTTATTAGCGAGAGATTCAATATAAACATTTTAAGTTCACATGTTGGCTAGAAAAATAGCCGTAAGGTGGAGTGGGATTGTAAGAAAATTCCATTCATGTAAATTCACTTTGTGCGCAATTATTTACTAGTAAAACGGTTCATATGGATTGAAACGTAGGTATTTTACCAGAGTGTGTTCAACGTTGTTAGAACACAAATAAACAACTAGAATAGCGGAAGCAATAAACCGAAGATTTAAAAAACTCTTCAGGGAAGCGTCTCACTTCCCCTCAGAGCTCTTTCATTGATAACTAGATTGTGCACATGCGTATAGTTTTGGAATTACAGCAACTAGAACTCCCTTCTAGCCTAACCAACAACTATACTTGAATCTACCAACTACTTCTCCGGCCACGTCCCGTGGACTTTAAATAACACTTAATCCCTAAGTACTGATCACAATAATGTTTGAAAAACAAATAAAATAAAACAAAACGGCTTCAGTTCTTCAATATGTAAGAACACCGAAAACTGAACTGAGAACTAAAATAAAAGAAGACTTGTAGCTCGAATAGTATGTGAATAATAATGATCTCAGCAGCCTTGATTCGATCTTCAAGTAGGGTATATATACAACTCCTTAGACTTGGAGTCTTCTCCAAGTTCTTTCCTTCTTTCATGATCTCCTTTGATCTTCTTCCCAAAAATAGTGTAGTAACATGTAAAGTAAATCTTCCTTGATTGTATGTGATTTGGAGATCTTCAGAATTGAGTTTCCAATGGAAATCTCGTGGTTCCAGACTCGTGTAAGAACACAATTTTCCTAAAATAGCCGATCTTCTAAATCTTCAAAGATCTTGTGGTGAATCTTTCCAAATCTTCCTTAGATCTTCTAGATAACGTCCAGAATTCCTTATGTGTGAATATCTCATCCTTTCATAGTCATTGCCACCTATTCTTTGTCCTACAAGAAGGAGAAAACTAATTATGACATAGAATCAAACTCATTTATGCATGTGACATATATGGTAAGTACATATATATGATATATATTATGTAATCTTTCTCCTAAAGGTTTAGGATTCCATAATACACATTGTAATAAATATATAACATATATTATTAATAATAAATAATAGAAACTTAATTAATTAACAAGTAAATAAATAGAAAACTTCTCTTTAATTTATTTTGCTTGCCTAACAAGAAAATCTTCTAGAAAACACTTAGGTTTTCGGATGATGCCAAACCAATATTCTTACATGGATAGTCGAGATGCTATCTCAAAAATATTTTGTGATATTAACTTCCACATATTTCTTTATTTTTACATAGATAGCACCATAAATTTCTCATAATAAAATCTATATATACTATCTCTTAATCTAAGCAAATAAAACCAAATGAAAGTTGATTGTAAGTTCATGACTATAGCTATATGAAACTTCAAGATTTTTTTTTTCTTAATTGCCTTGCGGACTTTTTACACGTGCGAGAAAACAAATAAGGAGAANGGGGAAACTAATACAACCATAACTACACGTCTAGATTCAATATCAAACTCTTCATACTTAGGAGGTAATAAAACTAGCTCTATATACACAACTTGCTTAATTTCCCTTTCTTTTCTTTGCACCAAAAAAATATCTTCTGGTAGTACCTCATGGAATTTGTCCCTTTTACCCTTTTCCAATTTTCTTCAAGCAAATGGAAAAATTTTGTTCTTTGTGAAGATTTTATTTGCAGTTTGACATTTGGGCTTCCCTTTTTTTCCTTCTTCATTGTCTATACTTTGAGAGTTAGCTCAATGGGCAGGCCATTTTGTGGAAGGGCAAAAGGCCCATACTGAATGCCATCTTGTGGGCCCACTACAGTCCACCTGCAAAATAATTGAAGAAAAATAAAAATTTAGAACCTTGATCAAGAAAGACAAAAAGTTCCACCACAGATCAAAAAGGGTAAATTCAAGTTTTTTCTCTTTTTTTANTGTACTTTGTGGTCAGATGATGCAAAAGAACCAGGATCTCCAGCTTGGCAAGCTCATTCCCAGGGCACGCGTGGGACCCGTTGCCAAATGGCATGAAGGTATTGGGCTTAGGTGCCACCTGTCACATTACCAAAACTTTACATTAATCACAAAGTCTTGAATAATACAGTCTACTCTAATCATTAGTCGAGTCGACTTGTATATGATATTTACCTCAAATCTTGAAGGATCAAATTTTGCAGGCTCCAAGAAATGATTTGGGTTATGGTGAATGTTCCTAAAGAGTGGCAACACTTTCCATCCTTTTGGAATAAGATATCCTATAACACCCAAAACAAAAACAATAAAATAAAACTTATTAACTCGTAAGTGAATCAAACAATTTCAATATTCTAATTCATATCATAATATATATATATATTTTTCCAAACTTACCATCAAACTCAACATCTTCAACAGCCTCTCTGAAAGTAAAGGACAAAATTGAGGCAACTCTTAGAGTTTCTTGAATAACCCTAACTGTTTTAGGCATTCTCTTTGTGTCTGCCCAGGTCAAGCCCTTGCTCTCCCCACACTCCTCCTTTGATCTTATCAAAGCCTCTTGCTCNACAAAATTAATAAAAAAAAAAAAAAAAATCTTCAATCACCATTTTTCGTTCGAAAATACACTTTACGAAGAATAGACGATTTTTATTTTTTTTATTTTTTCTGTAAAATTTACCGTGACGGCTTCCAAGATGCTTGGATTTTCGGCCAAGAACTTCAAAATCCAAGTGAGAACACTAGCTGTAGTATCGCGTGCCGCGAAAATAACACCGATAATATTATCGGCAATTTGCTCGTCCGACAAACCCTCGTTATCCTCCATGAAGGACCCGAGCAAATCGTTATAGCTCTGCTTCATTTCTCTCCTTACGGTTATAATATTGGCGAGCATTTTCGCCAACTCTTTACGAGCCTTCATTGCCTTGTGGAAAAGCGTGCCCGGCAAGTTAACCGCCATCGAGTTGTAACCTTTTTCGACCTCGTGATAGCACTTCTTGAGATTCTCCCGGTAAAGAATCTCGTCTTTTCCGAATATCGAAAGCAACGCCACGTTGAAAGTGTANAGTGCCCACAATAAAAATAAAAAATAAAAAAAAATCAAGAAACAGGGGACTCTGTTTTTCCCCTGTTTTGTTTCAAGGATTGGAACTTACTGTCTTCATTTCTTGATAAGTGGTGATTAGTCTATCCTCCCAAGACTCCAAGGAGCAAAGGGCAATGGACTCGATGTTCGGGATCATGGCTTTGATGGACTCGGGCATGAAAGCGCGCAAAACGAGCTTTCGGAGCTTGGCGTGATAATCCCCTTGATGGAAAAATATCGCTTGTTTGCCGAGCATTCTCTCTTTGCTAGCCGGGAATGTGGGCTTGAAGAGATGGGCTTTTGAGACGAGGACCATCTTTGCAGCCTCCGGGCTTGAGACCATCACGCACGGGCAGCCCAGTATGTGGCTCTTGAATATTGAACCATATCTGTTTAAAAAACAAACAAATTAGTGATTTTGATCAAGTCTTTTTTNAGCCCATCGTTCCCGGAGGGAGGGGCAATTTGGTCCGACCTGACCGGATAAATTTTACGATGAAGAGTGAGGATGTTAAGGTTGCTAGAAGGTAAAACAAAGAGATGAACTCCATGTTTGATTTGTGTTTGTGTGTGCCCTTTTATTGTTTTCTTAAGGATGGTAAAAATTTGATCTTTTTTTTGGGATGAGTGAATGAAATGGGGGCTTTTGAGGGGGTTATATATAGATGTAAGAATAAAAAAAAATTGAAAAAAAAAAAAGAAAGAAAAGAGTTTGTCCTATCAATTACAGCTTAAGAGTGCTACAAAGGCATCTCTCTCCAGCTCATGTTGTTTATGATAGAGGAGAGAGGAGAGAAAAAGTGACACGTGTCAGTAAAGTGAAAGAGAGAGGAGAGAGGGCGTGTGGGGAGAGTGTAAGGGTTGACTAAGACCGGTCTAGTTGAGGGACCTTCATGAATGACTCGTTTTTTGAAATAAAGAGGTGCAAGGAAAGAGCCTAAATAAATAAATATATAATGGGGATAAGAAAATAAAATTAAGAAAAAAGAAAATAGATGTGGAGAGGGAGAAAAAGGGTCCAGGGGAACATCACCTTTTAATATTTAATTTTTGGGGTCTACTTTATATTAAATGCTGGGGGCATGATAAATAAATTGGATAATTTTTTTGTTCCCACTTGCCTCACAAAAACGTGTTACTGATCATTTTTTTTAATGAAAAATACGTTTAATAAAAAATTGATTTGATGAAGAATGATGAAATAGTGAGTGGATGTGTTTTGCTGATTGGTGGTGATTTAAATTCCTGAGTGAATTATATGATTAAAATTTATAATTAACTGCGTTTTAGGATTTTTAGCATATATATATATTTAATTAATTTTAGTATACATTTTTTAGATTATGTGATAGAGAAAATTACGCCTAATTATACTTGAGCTAATAGTCATTTAGGGGACCGCATGAGTGGGCTCTAAATTCTAGTATGAAGTTTTTGAGAAATATTAAAATTGTTGGAAAACTTATGCAACTGAAATTAAAATTGTTGGTATATGTGTTTTAGAGGCAATTTTTTTTATCACATATATACATGTTTATATTAATATTATATTGGATTATAATTATGGTATTGTAATTAATTAAATAATTATTTGATTGTTCGCAATTTATTAATTAATTATTCCCTTGACTTGATACTGTCATTAACAGAGTGAGATGTTAATTGATAAAGTATAACTCTCAAATCGCCTCAATCGATGATCATTAAGAAATGGATATTAATGATACATGGTAGATTGACACGTGGTCTGCATCATATTCTTGAAGACTATAATATGTCTCACTACTCTGAATAGTTGTTATTCGTGATGAAAACATTGATACTTTAGAGAGTATTGGTATACCCTATCGATAAAAATTTGTTTATGTGTCCATGAGAGTATCGATGTGTGGAATGATGTAATAGTCCTTTGAATTGAGGTCAATATACAATTCATGTATAGAGTGATTTACTTAGACCTAGTCCAACGTTTACGCCCTTATGAGTTGATGCGAGCTTGTGTTTGGTTGACCACGATATATATGGAATTGGTAGTTGAGTCAAGATACGATTCATTCCTCGAATATAGTTTCGAGAGAACACTCATTTTCTCTATACTGGGTTGATAAAGTCATTGGCCAATGCACGTAATTATATTTGAAATGGTGTTCAAATATAATTGATAAAGTCAACCAGTAAGATGAGATAAAATGATTAAGTTGTTTGGATAGACACACGTTCAAATCCTAAGCTTAATTGAGTGATTTGTGCATGAAAGAATCGTATCACAATTGAGTTCTACACTAACGGTTTGTTTGCTTAGTCCATGTAAACATACTTTATATTTTGAGTTCGTCCTTCGACGCAGTCTAGAAGCTTCATAAGGATCATAAATTAGATTTATGTCATGATATGAAGGCTTATAGGGGCATACAATATGTCATCAGTTTTTCGACTAAGAGTGAATCGAGAGTGTTAAATATTCAATTAGATTGGAATATTTGTTTATGAGTAATGAGATTATTTTCTATTTGATGAAAAATATTTAATTAAGTTAAATTCAGATTTATACTTAATTAAATTATTAATTGGATTATATCCAATTATCTATTGGGTTTTAGGGTCTCTTAAGGCCCATATGATAAAATTTGACCTAATTATAAATATTTCATTATCTTTTTACCGTTATTAATCGATAGATCGATGAATGAGAGAAAAACTTTGAAAGATCCCAAAATCTTAGAGATTGAAAGATCAACATCAAATAAAACACTGTCCGACTTTCTGGTTGAGGATTCTTAACTTATTCACTGGAAATAATTCATTGGCGTTGGATCGTGCATCAAAAAATTAGATTGCATGGATACCATAGTCAAGGGCATAGACGAACAACGGTAAGTTTCCGTTGATCATTCACGCGATTTAAGATCATATAGAATAGCTATAGCCGGATTTTCGTTGTGGTAAGAAAAATTTTAAAATTCCGCTGCGCATACACTAGGTTCGTACGTTTAAAATCCAACAAAAATAAATTGAACTTTGACTGGATTAATAAAGTTTTCTTAAGTAAATCTCCTATTGAAATAAATAATGCATTATTTGAATTTTATTACGATAACATTTTTTACTTTAGAAGGAAACAAACACGGGGACTTTGAATTATTGAATTTTCTAGATTATTGATTTTTTTTTTAATCTAAAGTCTGGATTATTGAATTTTAATTTCTAGATATTGCCACATACTCATGCTGTTTGAATTTTTTTTAAGGATTAATTAATAAAATATTTTTGCACTAAAAATAATATTTAATTGTAATCGGACTAGTATTTGTTTCATTTTCTTTTTCTTTTTAACCAATTTAGCTTATTTAACTGAAAGAGAAGTAAAAACTCCATAAATAAAATTCAATTGTATTTTCAGTTTAGTTTCTCGAAAACTATCCCACCTTATGATATTGGTTTTTCGTGCAATGTTATCTTATACAAATTTATAATTATTTATCTTCATTATTTTTTTAATAGAAAAAAATATAATGTGACACCGAAGAAAAATCCCGCGTCACAATATATGGGCTTTCAAGAAGACTCTGATTTCAACTTTAGACATTAAATGTGTGTGCAACGAACTCTCAAGAACAAGACACAATGGATGCTCTAACATGGGTCCCAAAAAAAAATATATATATATATATAGAAAAGAGCCACTCCATAGCTCTGGTTCAACAATTTTGCTATAAAACCATCGGATGGCTCGACTTATGGAACCATCTACACTTATTCACCAATAATGTATTGACACGTGTCCTACAATAAATACAATTTAGACATGTGTCAATACATTAAGTGGTGGATGACTCCATAAGAAAACCATCCGATGGCTCCATAGAATTTTTGTATGGTTCAAATGAGTCAAGCTCGAACTTTTATTATGCTTGTTTATTTAACAAGTCAAATCAAGCTCGACTGTTTATGACTCGTTAGGCTTAATAAATATGAATTACAGAATTTTATAAAATTTAGCGTAATATATTTTGTTCGTTACAATTTTTGTTTGGCTCGTTAACGAGTCAAGCTCAAACTCACTTATCGGCTCGTTAATTTAACAAGCTGAGTTAATGAGCCAAACTCGATTCAGCTTGATAAGGACTCGAGCTCGAGTTCGGTTCAACTCGTTTATAGCTCTGCCGTATACACATAAATGACAAAACTGAAAACTGATTTGTAGTTCATCTATTAGATTGAGTAATGATTATTATATAACTATATTTTTTCAATAAATGTATTCAAATTCATGTCAAATATTTTTATACTTTAAACTATTTTATAAATAAAAGTATGAAATTTATATATATAAGAATATTTTTTTATTATAAAACAAACGTTTAACAATTAAACATTATAACAACAACATTTGTGATAAAAGAGATCATCACTCTCTTCCTGAGTTCAAGTGTATGCGATAAGAATAGAAAGGTGTATTGTAGCTCAAATTTGAGCTTACGTTGTGTACATATTGGAGTCCATAATCTTGATTGGAACTGTAAAGAGTCGAGCAGACTTCAATTCTAAGTTTTATCTTAGCCTAAATTGAGTCTTAACGAACTGAATTATAGAAATAATATAAAAAATTTTATATATATATTTTTTTTAATTTTAACGAGTCGAGATTGAACTTGACTTATTAATCAAACGAGTCGAGTTTACGAGGGAAAACAACGATTAAAGAACTTCAATATTATAATATGTCAAATAATGACAACAACAACAACAACATAGCCTTTAGTCCCAAGCAAGTCGGGGTAGGATAGAGATGAAACCTAAGAGAAACACAAAAAGACTCGAACCGAAAGGAAGAGATCGAAAAAAAAAAAAACGAGAGAGAGAGAGAAAGGAGCAAAAGTCACGATTCTGGCACGTTGATAGCGAGCCTCCAAACGCTCCTATCCACCGCTAAATCCTTGGAGATATTCCAATCTTTAAGGTCTCTCTTAACCGTCTCTTCCCAAGTGAGTTTAGGCCGACCTCTACCTCTCTTAACATCCTCGAACCGCTGTAGAACTCCCCTACGCACCGGTGCATCAGGAGGCCTCAGTTGGACATGTCCGAACCACCTCAGCCGATATTGAACCAATTTCTCCTCAATTGGAGCCACCCCGACCCTATCTCGAATATCCTCATTCCGGATTCTATCCCTTCTTGTGTGCCCGCAGAACCAACGCAACATACGCATCTCTGCTACACTTACTTGTTGGACATGTTGCCTTTTTGTAGGCCAACATTCAGCACCGTATAGCATCGCCGGGCGAATCGCCGTCCTATAGAACTTACCTTTTAGTATTTGTGACACCTTCTTATCACAGAGAACGTCTGACGCCATTTCAACCAACTGGCTGCAATTCTATGTCAAATAATGACATTGCACAATATTAAAATTTCCATAAAATCCAAAATAGAAAATTATTTCTCATAATTTTATAATGATGATTAATCATACAATATTAAAATTTCCATAAAATCCAAAATGGAAAATTATTTCTCATAGTTTTATAATGATGATTAATCATGCACTCTC